GGTAGTGTGCTAGTGCTCTGGGGTCTCCCTCCCCTCTCTAACTCTGCTCCCTCCTGACGGGTAATGTGGTCCTGTGGAGCATAGTTCAGTACAGTGATTCCAGATAACATAATAAACATATACATAAACATAGAAAACAAATAAAGTATATACATAATTTCCCTACTAGATAGGGATGTCAGTGTGGTTGGGGCGACCTCCCTGCGAAATGCTTGGGAGGCAAGCCCAACAGGGGGATTAAAGATAACCTGCGTGGTTCGGCCAGAACCGGGACCCCTTAAGTGTGCGATCGTACATAGCTTACATTATACAGACAGCCTTGTATACGTTACTGTTATATGAGAGCATCCCGCCCTCTCAATTGAGTAGTTATGCGTACTTTTTTTTTTGTGTGTTTTTTTTATTTATTTTTATTTTTTATTTTTTTATAATTTTTTTTTTTTTTTCTGTTTTGTTTTTGTGTGCCCTTTGTGAGCCCTCCCTCCCATCAGCTGTGAGACTCACTAAACATAAGTGCCTTGAAACAAATGTGAATTGGAGCCATATACATTACGCAGCGTTATGGTCTTCTTCAGCGTCCATTTTCTTTCCGTCTTGGCACGCGGTCAGTTTCGTGGAGGGGCAGAGGGTTGTGTGAGGAGAGTTCATTTGTCTCTTCTTGGCGATCCCGCCATGTGCCATTCGGTTGTGATTTTCCTTTGCGGTTTCGGAGCTTGCGCTTGCTGGTCCGGCGACTGGAAAAGTCCCCATTCTCTCAGGAGGCGCATTCCGTCCTCTGGTTCCTCGACAACGTGGTTTTTGTTGTTCCTCCAAATGATAATTTTAGTGGGATAGCCCCAGCGGTATGAGACATCGTGGTTACGGAGAGTTTTTGTGACCGAGATGAATTCCCTCCGACGGCTCATTGTGAGAGTGGATAGGTCTGCGTACAGTTGCACCCCCTGGAACGGTTCAGGTAGCGATGGGAGTTTGCGCGCGGCAGTCAGCAGTGAATCTTTTGCTGTGTAATAGTGGAACCTGACCACTACATCGCGTGGGGTGTCTGCTGTGAAGCGTTGTGGTCTAGGCAGTCGGTGTGCTCGGTCCAGCTGCCACTCCGTAGTGACCCTCTCTGGCAGCACGGCTTGGCATAAGCCTTTAATGTAGTCGGGCAGAGCCTCATGTGTGACGTTGTCAGGGATGCCTCTAAACCTGACATTATTGCGCCTAGAGCGATCCTCTATGTCCGCCATTTTCCTCTTTAGCTGCTTTTGTTCCTCACTGAGAGCTTGTAATTTAGCCTCCATGTCAGTGTGAGCTGAACATATTTCGTCTGTGCGGACTTCCAGTCTGTCTGTTCTGTCTCCTAGCTCAGACAAGTCCTGTTTAAAATCTGTCACCATTGTCTGGAAGTCTGCATGCAAGGTAGCCCTGAGCTCTTGTAGCATGGTATAGAGACTTCTCTCACTCACCGGGTTGTCTGTATAGCGACCTGTGGGGTCTCCTGTGTCTGGCTGATCTTCAGCACTGGAGGCCGTCGCCATGCTGCCGTCGCCATCTTGGCTGGAGCGGAGGCGGTCTTTTTTAGCGGACCTGATCGGGTCCGTGATTTTCAGCTGCTTGGAGGGCGCCATGTGATCTCCCGTTGCTCGGTGGGGTGCTGCAGGGCCGGGATTCGTGAGTCAGTCACGGCTGTCTATGCTGTTGGGGTCCGTCGGCCTGGGAGCTCTCACTCCATGCGCCTTTCCCGGTCGGCCGTTAGCCACGCCCCCCGTTCCTAAACAGTTATACTGTAGTGGTTATGGTGGTTAAAGTATCCCTCTAAAAGAAAGGTCAAACAAGGATGAAACAGGCAGACACACACATTGTGCTAGTGAACTCATTTGTATACATTAAAGTTAAATTTACCTAAGGACTGAAGTCTGCTTCCTCCAAAATGGCCACTTGAAACGCATGCGCCAACAGTGCTTTTAAAAAAATGAGCACGGCATTCATAAATTCATAGTAAAATAACATTATACATTTGTGCGGCTGGCACAATACAGGGCTATACTTTTCAATAGTGCAACTAGACCTGGGTCTATGCCAGCAATTAAACAAGGCATCTCACCAAAGTAGAGAGGTCAGGTCACTATTTGCTGCTCTGCAAATGAAGTTCCAGTGTTTTTAGCACTGAAATGAAGAGGTAGAGTGTGCAAATGATGTTATGTCCTAAAAACATGAGTGTAAAGAACTTTTGGAGAAAGAAAATAGAGGAATGCACAAATAGGGTCATTGGGAAATATAGCAAATGTGTCATGACAGAGTCTCATTAAGTAAAAAAAAAAAAACACTGTGCTTTTTTGTTGTTGTAATTGTTTAAAGACATCTATGTTACATTTCGAAATCAGACAAACTTTAAAAGATCAGTTTGATCACCATAACAAAAAATGCTCATATTGTGTAGGCTATCATGTCATTATATATCTGTACACAGTGGTTTATAACTTCAGAAATGTGCAAAAATGGCTGCAACCTTTATGACAGCGGAAGAAAATTGTTCATTTCTATTTTGTTGTCCAATATGTGCGTATGGCATGATAACCATGAGAACACGGTTAACTGCTGAATTCAGAAACCTGCGAACAGGTCCTGCAAATATCATCAATAAGCAATCAGCTTATTCAGTTAAAATAAGTGGACAAAGTTTGTGCGATAAGATCTGCCACCATCTACCAGCATACGAGACTCCTGATTGGTGGAGCCTCTTACTTGTCTGGGAAAGAACATATGCCTCTGTAGCATATCTGTAGCATGTGGATTGCCGTTTTGTAAAGAGACAAAATTAAATTTTGATTGATGTACATTAGATCAAGGGTAGTGTGTATTGCAGAGGTTTAAAAAGAACAAACAAAAAAAAAGCCTTTAAAATTATTTTCTACACATTCTTGGTTAATATCTGGTCTCTTAAAAAAAAATATAAATTCCTCAAATAATGATTTTCATTTTCTAAGCACCAAGCACTATAATGGACCATTATGGCCTAGTGGCTACAGATGTAAACTGCAATGTCCACCAGTCCAAAGACAACTAGCAAATATGACAGCTGACTGAGGAAGCTCTAGGAGGAGTGAAACACGTATCTGCAACCAGGACGTTTTATCTTAATCATTGTATTTCATTTTTATTTACTTTTTAGCATATTTGTATTAATAAATAGATTACATTTTCTACTAAGTCCATGGAAGCCTCAATTACCTTCATTTGGGGAAGTGCCAACCCCTTTAGAGTGACACAAAGCCCACCACCCTTTAAGGCTCTATAACAGGTGAGCATAATATCTATTTACATTCTATCAGAAATATTCGTGAATTGACTATACTACACATTGGATGTTCCTATTGTTTTTATCTTCCCACTAATGATTAAATCTCAAGTTGTTTTGGTGCATAACGTGACCCATAGTGTCTAATGATGATTAGTTATGTGTTTTTCTACTTAAAACACCTGACAGATAGCGGTAACACAGATGCCTACGCCACTTTTATAGATAAGTGGATTCCTTAAATTCACCCATGAGTGTTAGAGTATCCAGTTCTTTCCTTGTGGTGATAACACAAATCACTGCTAAAGGAATCTCTATTGTTAAGTATGAGGAAGGCAGGGTTACACACAGGTCACAGCTCTGGTTGCCCCTACTGAACTGACGTAGTGATTTTTTTCCTGAGTAATGCTTATTGTCATGGTTATGGGGGGGGGGAAAAACTATGGATGTTGTAATTTTTTTGTTTTTTTTTGTTATTATGAGCCCACTACGCCCATATGAAGATGTTTAGTTTTGCCTTTCGCAGGGCAGTATTCCAACATGATAATAACCCCAAACACACCTCCAAGACAATCACTTCCTTGCTAAAGAAGTTGAAGGTAAAGGTGATGGACCATCAAAGCATGTCTCCAGATCTAATCCCTTCTGAGCATCTGTGGGGCATCCTAAAACCAAAGGTGGGGGAGCGCAAGGTCTCTAACATCCACCATGATAATAACCCCAAACACACCTCCGAGACGACCACTTCCTTGCTAAAGAAGTTGAAGGTAAAGGTGATGTACTAGCAAAGAATGTCTCCAGACCTAAACCCTATTGAGCATCTGTGGGGCATCCTCAACGGAAGGTGGGGGAGCGCAAGGTCTCTAACATTCACCAGCTCTGTGATGTTGTTATGGAGGAGTGGAAGAGGACTCCAGTGGCAACCTGTGAAGCTCTGGAGAACTCCATGCCCATGAGGGTTAAGGCAGTGCTGGAAAATAATGGTGGCCAAACAAAATATTGACACTTTGGGCACAATTTGGACATTTCCACTTAGCGGTGTACTCACTTTTGTCGCCAACGGTTTAGACATTTATAGCTGTGTGTTGAGTTATTTTGAGGGGACAGCAAATTTACACTATTATACAGGCTGTACACTTACTACTTTACATTGTAGCAGAGTGTCATTTCTTCAGTGCCGTCACATGAAAAGATATACTAAAATATTTACAATAATGCGAGGGGTGTACTCCCTTTTGTGAGAGAATGAGAGAGAGAGTGTTGCTTTTGTTTGAATTTTATTTAAAAAAATGTAATTCTAACTTTATTAAAAAGAAAAAAATTGAGAATGCAGGTTTAAGGTATGTATGCATACTTTCTAGCAGGTCAATACAGTACATCTTGTGTTGTCACTTATATATATATATTTTTTTTTTTAACCTTAAACAATATGTTTAAACATTTAATTACAAAAAAAATTGGGATTTAACTAGTCTATTTTGTTTCCATACACAAGGCTTAAGCTTTCCACATATGTTTAAACAAACATCTGTGCTGTTATTTAACGAGCTGACTTATTACAACCTCTCCTCTCCCTAGAGCCTCTGCCATTTGATATTTGATAGAACACCTAATTTAGCCCCATCCTTTCTAATTACAGTGTGCTGAGATTGCCACTACCAGCATGGCGGCTGCAGATTATCCTGGGTGGGGTAAAACGGAAGTCAGGGCAGATTCCGGACGGAAGTGGGGCACGGTGACAGCTTGTGTTTGCATTTGCCCGGAAGAACGAGCGATATCCATTTCTATTAATATTAATAAACGTTTTTTTTTTTATTATAACTGCATTTTAACCATAAAAAAATGATTCCCAACGAAGATATCGGAGGCAGGAAGAGGGCTATAGAGGAGAAGCTCAAGCAGGTTACATTATTATCCTTATATCCTGTATAATGCATGAATTATTATTATTTCCCTCCCCATTAATGACATATTTCTTCAGCTTTTCTCATTGATGTAATTTTAGTATTCTAATGTTATTCTACGTCATATTTCATTATAGATGTGATTTCAGGATACCAATATTATTTTTCTCCATATTGTATTATTGTTGTCATTTCAGTATGCATGTTTTTTTATTTTAATATCTTATTAGCATTTATGTAGAGCCAGCATTTTCACTTTACCATTATACACCAGGGTTATTAAACAAGTCCTACATAATGCTCCCCCATTCCCATTTGAACTCTGTAGCTGAAAACATTGAATGTTTTCAATTCAGGGTGTAGGTGTCTCTAGTGGCTGTCACTTGAGGGTTTTTAAACTATCCATTAATGGCACAGCTTGATCAAGGAATAGCAAATTTATGAACAAAATTAAAAAGCCAGTAACAAAGCTGAGTATGGCATTATACTTTTTTTGGGGGGGGGAGAAGAATGTCTGATCATTGGTCTCTTACAACTGTATTATTTTTTTGTCACAGGAAGAAGAAACCCTGAGCTTCATAAGGGAGAGTCTGGATAAGAGCGATCAGTTAACTAACAATATGGTAAGTGTGTATGTTTAATTATGCATTATTATTATTATTATTATTATTGCCATGTATGTTGGGGAACACCAGGCACCAGAACAGCAATCATGTACCTGATAAAGTATCATGCAAGAAAAATCCTTATTTATTAGAGTATTCTACTAAAAACCAGAAATGTATGAATGTTGCAAAAAGTAAACAAACAAGCTAGCCATTCTGTTTACCAGACCCCCTTCACCAGTAGTGACTTATTTGTAGGTATGAAGGGTACTGCCCTACTAAATAATCAGTGTCATATTAAGAATAAAAAAAAAAGAAAAGTCTATTGCCAGTAGTAAAAGAATAAACTCAAAAAGCGTTAATTTGCAGATTTCCATTATAAATTGTAAAGATAATCTATACAGCACTACAGTACAAGAATTGTACCTCCCCTTTTTAAAGCACAGCACAGATTGACTCTGATAAAGATGATGCTTGTCAGGATAAGTTATCGAGAATGTGTGTGTGTGTGGGTGTGCGAGCGCGCGCGCGCCTTACATCATTTTTGAAAAATGCCCCATCTGGAACCACAGGAAGCTGCCAGGATGAAAACCAATACAATTAACCACTAGGTTATAAGAGCGCGTACAGAACACTGGTTCCCAATAGGTTGATCCCCAGATGTTTAAAAACGACAGATTCCATGATGCTTTGCAATTCTAAAACCACGCAAAGCATTATGGGATAGTTCTACAACTACCTTTTGGGCAACCCTGGTATAGAATTATCTAATTATAAAGCTCAACTGTAATACCAACATTGTGTGTTTGCCAAAAATGTTTCCCTCAGATACGTGTACTTTTGTCTATGACAAAAATGTGTTCACCAATATCAAACTGTGGATCCGGTCATTGACATGGTTATTAACTGTAGTGAGAGGTGTGCCACACACATTTATTTGCAATGAATTGGTCATATCTCTAGTGATCAAAGGGTTAAGGCCAATAGATCGAGAGGGAGTTGAGTCAAATTCCATGGTTATAGTCTGGTGGCACATCATCTATAAACTTCACCAGCTGCTGTTTGCCCCTTTCTTTAACTTTCCAGACCAAAACCAAATGTTAAAGGGCCACTATAGGCTCCCAGACCACTTCAGCTCAATGAAGTGGTCTGGGTGCCAGGTCCATCTAGGGTTAACCCTGCCTGCTGTAAACATAGCAGTTTCAGAGAAACTGCTATGTTTACATTAGAGTTAATCCAGCCTCTAGCGGCTGTCTCACTGACAGACGCTAGACGCACTTCTGCGATTCTCACTGTGATTTTCACAGTGAGAAGACGCCAGCGTCCATAGGAAAGCATTGAGAAAGCTTCCCTATGGACTGAATGCACGCGCGGTTGTTGCTCCGCATGCGGCGGAAGAGGGAGGAGAATCCCCAGCGCTGAAGGAGCCCGGCGCTGGAGAAAGGAAAGTGTTTAACCCCTTCCTCATTCTAGAGCCCGGCGGGAGGGGGACCCTGAGGGTGGGGGGGGGGACCTATTAATACTATAGTGCCAGGAAAACAAGTTTGTTTTGCTGGCACTATAGGGGTCCTTTAAGACCGTGGCCTGAAAATGGTCAGCTATAACTCCTGCTTACTGAATGATGGGTTCATTCAATCATGCCAAGCATACACGTGTACTAGCAATTCTTGCATACTTTTTGTTTTTCTTCCAGTAGCTGAGATACCATAAATAGCTGCATTGGGCGTTTTTGTCAATCTTTGTATTCATTTGTAATGCTGTCATAAATGTTCTCTTGTTGCTGTAAATTTACTAGAAGTTATTATTCTGTTTTCAGGTTATTGCCCAAAACTTCCAGAAAATTTTATTTTAGTCAGTTAATTCCATATCTGAACTGCTGTGACTGTAAAACAAATAGATAATTAAAGGGACATTGTATGCCATATAACCATTTTCAATCCATTTAACACCGAATGAGGGTCCCTTGCTTCCCAGAGCTCGGTCGACACTGGAGCTGTGGTTAAGGCAGGGATTACATACTTTCTTGTTGCCATGCTCATACCTGCAATGACACTCTGATGGGCTGAATGTGGTCTGCTGACACTCTCAGCCAATCACTGCTGTCTAATGCTTCCTAATTAGCTTGTCTGTTCTCTGAAACATTTCTTTATTCTCATTTTACTGTCCTTCTTTATTTATAGGTATCTATTCTGTCCTCCTTTGAGAGTAGACTGATGAAGCTGGAAAACTCTATTATCCCAGTGCACAAACAAACAGAGACATTGCAAAGGCTTCAGGAGAACGTGGAGCGTACCCTTTCCTGTCTTGACCATGTCATCAGTTACTACCATGTGGCCACAGAGACAGAGAAAGTCATCAAAGAAGGGTAAAGAGGAAGCTATCTTGCAAAGGCTCTGTTTAATTCTATTAAAAAAATTCAGAGCTGTGTATTTTGATATCTATCCACTAAAAACTGGGCAATCTAGAAAAACTATAAGCACATGAGTTGAAAATTGCAATTAAACTTGCCTGTAATCCAGAGAGAAGACATCCTCTTAACAGTAATTCAAAGCCCCTAGCGGCTGTCTGCCACTAGATGTGGGGATTGCAAAAGAAAATGGTGCCATTTCTAAGAAACCGTAGGGCTTTCACCTGCAAGGATGCAGGTGCTGCTTCTATGCACCAAAATCCCTTCATTAAGATCAAGTGGTTTTGGCGTTTATATTTTGCCTTTAGAACAATGAAAGTGATGTTAATGGGGAAGTGCATTGCACAGTGCAATTATAAATATGAGGACAACGAGGAAGCAGGTCCTTCAAGTGGGTAATTTATAGGGACTCACTTTGGAAGCGTGCAGATCTGATAGAGTACAAGCTACGTGAACGTATCATGTACAAACTCATGTTGAACAAAAGAAATAAACTATGGATAGGGTATAGATAAAACTTCCATCTTTAAAAAATTATGTTGCTAATCAAATCACCGTCAAAAGATGTACAGGATGAATTGATAGCTCCGCTCCCTATGAGGGAATGTGAGCACAAATAATGAGTTACTTAGATTTGTTTTTACTGTTACACTGGTTTTATTAGCTTAACAATGCAAACTATAGGATAGTGAGGTCATTTGAACCTGCCTTAAAATGTTCGGTGATGGAGAATACTCACGAAAAGTTTGAAAGATGACCGATATCTGTTTGTATATTGTAGCACTGTTTACCATCTTATAGGCAATATCATGAAATGTACTGTACTGTTATTGATACTACAGCTCTCATACAGTCATTCGGTCTTGCTGTCACAGATTGATAAGACTGAACAATCCATTTGTAATTGGTCTGTGCTCCTATGCAACAATATTGAACTTGTGTAATGATTGCTGTGGTATAACGTATTCCTGCCTTTACAGATAATAAATATACAGCTCTGTACAGGTAATATAACAATGTCTGGTTTTATTCATTAACCTATGAGTTATAAACTGACATCAATTTTAAACAAAATAGTTATTTAAAAAAATTAAAAATCAGTTCTGCTGAAGTGGAAATTATTTTCTGTTGCAAGTCCAAATAAATAACTGTTTAGTTAATAACCCCTTAGAATAAGTAATTCATTTATCATTTACTAGGTATATTTTTACCCCGAATTTGACCTTACATTCCCTGCTGCCTTATAACCATTTCCTTTCTGTCTCTCAGGCCCTCGGGGCGGTTGGAAGAATATCTCGGTTGTATCGCCAAAATCCAGAAGGCTGTTGAGTATTTTCAAGACAACAATCCGGACAGCCCTGAACTGAACAGAGTTGTACGTTCTCTGGTCCTAGGCTTTGATGTGACAGCAAATTATGCATTTATAGTTTTTTTATTGCTTGGATTTACAAAGTTTCCATTAAACCTGAATAGTTATGGGTGCTCATTATTAATAGCTGCTTCGCATTATATGGGGTGTTACAAGTACAAGTGGGAAGTAATTTTCAGATGAATAGGTACATGGTATAATCACGTAAAGGGACACTATAGTCACCAGAACAACTATAGCTTATTGTATTTGTTCTGGTGAGTATAATTCCCTTCAGGCTTTTTGCAGTAAACACTGTTTTATCAGAGAAAAAACATTGTTTACATTACAGTCTAGGGATACCTCCACTGGGCACTCCTCAGATGACTGCTAGAGGTGATACCTGGGGCAGTGCTGCACATTGTGAAGACTGCATGAAAACCCTCTGCATGGAGACCCTGAACTTTCCTCATAGAGATGCTTTGATTCAATGCATCTCTATGAGGAGATGCTGATTGGCCAGGGCTGTATTTGGCTTGTGCTGGCTCTGCCCCTGATCTGCCTCCTTGACAAGCTCTGTTTTCCTATGGGAAAGCATTGTGACTGTCTGAGATCACCACTTCCAGCAGACTGGAATAAAAGTAAGATTTTACTATATTTAGCAGGGCCAGGGGGGCTAGATGGTATTTTAACACTGAAGGGTCAGGAATACATGTTTGTGCTAAAAATGTAATGATGGGTGTAATTGTTTCTATATGTTTGTTTGATCCCAGAGGAAATATATATATTTTTTTTATGTTCAAACCATAACAGGAAATTCACTTTGTAATTTCTGTAAGTTCAACCTATTGTCTATATGTTGTGATTCTTAGAGTGGTATACTGATATATTTCTGGTCTTGTACTGGATTAGTGCAGAAAAAGTTGAGAAAGTAATGATACAGCAGCATGTTTATATGTCTTGGTCTTTGCAGAAATCTCTGTTTGAGAAAGGGAAAGAGTCTTTAGATGCTGAGTTCCGAGGCCTCTTGCAGAGACATAGTAAGCCTGTGCCACCTATTCTTATCTTGGACTTGATTGGCACTGATGAGGAGCTGGATGCTCAGGAAGAAGGACTCCTGGAACATTTGCCCGAAGGAAGTCTGCAGGATGTCATTCGTATATCACAATGGCTAGTAGAGTACGGAAGGAACCAAGGTAATTTGTTTGCTGTATGAGTCAAATTAAAGTATTGACTTTAAATAGAAATCCTCCTATTTTTCTCTCTATTTGGTCTCTGTTCCCTTGGACTCCTATTTATTCATTCTATTGATCCTCACTTTCAGATGGATTTCTGTTCTGTTTGTAAACTTCTTTACATTTTTCTCATGTCTCTATATTTGCATGCTTTTTACTCTAGATTTCATGAATGTATACTATCAGATACGCTCCAGTCAGCTGGATCGTTCCATCAAAGGTTTAAAGGAACACTTTCGGAAGAATAGTTCATCTTCAGGAGTGCCCTATTCCCCAGCTGTGCAGAACAAGAGGAAGGACACTCCTACCAAAAAGCCAGCCAAGAGACCAGGTCAGACAAATGTTGAGATCACTTACAGAAGTAGCTTCTGAGAGCATTCTCAAGTATACACCTCCGCGTGTTTCTTTAGAACATTTTCTAATAACGTTTATTTTCTCCTCAAGGGGCAGACTATGCATCAGAACCATTACAACACACAGTAGTGGTTTTTGCCAGCAGTGCCTTGGTACTATCCCATGCTAAGTAGTCAAATCATTTTATATATCCCATAGAACCTCCGGTCTAACCCCCTATCCTGGCTTAAAATGTGCTTGTTTGTGCGAAATTCATTGACTGACAAATATGGAATTGATAGAACTGTCATAAAATGAGGCAGAAACAGAGGTATCAGGGGCCATGAACCAGTTGATCAGTTTGATTGCTTACTATCGGATAGTGCCAGGACACTCCTGGCGCCAAAAACACTACATTGGGTTTTTGGGTAGTAATGATTAAGGTGTCTAGGCTGACCCGTTAATCCACGAGTTATGTTGTACTTCATTCCATCGTTTGTCTTTTTTATTTGCATATAATCACCAAGATGTATATATGTATGTGTGTGTGTATAAGTAACCTAAAGATAGTAATGTAAACCTCATAACAGGAGCCACTTAAATCAGACCTATAAAACCTCTCATATGGAAAATTGGATTTATGAGAACAAAATGTGCTGTAGGGCACTCCTGTAAAAAGCCATTTTCTATTGGATGATTTTTTTTAATATTAATAGTTACATGAAGTCCTACCAGCAAACTCCAGTGAACAACAACGGTACCCTACTGTATGCTTGTGTCATAGTACATGTAATCTACACAATGGCTTATAGTGTGCTCATGTGTAATATATAGCAGATGGTCCCTTCCTGATGCTCTACAAGAGTAGCATACTAAGGAGCAGGCAGATACCTGCTTATATTTTTGGAGAAAACTGAAATTCTGATTATATTTCATGAGACATTGACCATATTGTTTCCTTTTTTATATGTCCCGTTCTCAGTCTTCATACCAGGTAATGCGTTTATTCCTTGCAGTGTGCTGAGGCATTAACCTAGATTAAGCATCACGTAATGTCCATGCAGCCTCATTTAACACATCTAAGGCATGTGTAACACCAAGCTTTGAGCCAGCTTCTTTGTTTTAATATGACGTATCCATGTTTTAATGCCATTATAGCTTTCTGTAAGTCTTTGCACTGGCTGAGGAGTCAGGCTATCTAGGATTTTCCTATTGGCAACACAAGACTTGTTTCATTCACTTATGGTTTTTTTTTTTTTTTTTTCTGTTCTCATTGTCTTTTCATCTTTCTCTTTAGCAATTGTTCTTGTGACATTAATCCATTATTCTATCAGCCTGCAGCCACCCAAGAGAACAGGCCTCTCCGAGTGTCCAAAGCTAGTGGGTGGAAGGAGCCCTTTTCTGTTTCCCCACCCCACCTCACATGAACTGGTGGCTTGATTCTTTACTCTGATCCTAAATTTCTCCAGCGCTTTCTTTAATGCACCAAGCATGCTGTCACTCTGTATAAAGGCAATAGTTTTATAGCTGTGGGTTCCAACCACACCTTTATAACCAAATGTGTGTTATAATAATAGAAGCACTTGAAAATTTTTAAAGCAAGGTAACTGTGAGCCTGCAATTTAAATTAAAGGACTACTCTGGGCACCATAACAACTTCTTTGCAAAGAGGGTGCCATCTTACTTTAAGGCGATAAACCATTATAATATTCGCAAATAGCTTAACCCCACGCTTTGGAATACGGTGCCCCATCACTCTGCCCAGATACTGCCTTTCTTATTCCGAGTCTTCAATCAGAATACCTTTGACCGGGCAATGCTGTTAGATCGATAGTGTCAGCCTATAACTGGCTCCCCATTCAGATAAATGAATGAAAAGAGTATATATCTTGCTCACTCACTTTTTCTGAATGCGGAGCTAGTGATAGGCTGAAGACGTTCGGCTCTGCCCGGTCCAAGGCTCTCTGTTTTAATCCAGTGATGGCTAACCTTGACACCATAAATTGTTTCTGGACTACATTTCCCATGATACACAGCTAGCGTTTAGACTCTAAAAGCTAGCTGAGCATCATGGAAAATGTAGTCCAGAAACTATTTATGGTGTCAAGGTTAGCCATCACTGGTTTAAAGCCTCAGACCAAGAAAGAAATTAGCTGGTCAGATTGATCGAGCACAGTCTTCCAATGTCTGTGACTAAACTGCTTATTAGTGATTTAACTCCTTGAAGTTAGGACCCTGCAACGTCCTAGCACTATATCAACTTTATTGCAATGCAGTTGTTATGTTGTCTATAGTAACCCTTTAAGCTACCAATGTCAGATCTATTAAAGGACCTATCACTGCGTGGGATATTAAGTATTCACAGATTCTTACAGAAACATTGCTTCATGCCCTAGATTCTACAGTTTTGTTTTTTTTGTTATTGCCAGAAATTTACATATTTCTGGCTAGAAATGTTGTTAGATTAAGATTTACATTGTCTTTTAAAAGAGAAGCCCTTGAGATGACATAGTTCCTGCATATCGAGAATTTAAAAATGAAACACATTGGTAGAACAAAATATAGAAATTTACCAATGAAGACATGGGACCTGCACATGTTTTGTTATTCCATTTGATATACATTTCAGTTTAGGTTTATGGTTTTGTATCTAAATGGAAGGTACAGTTTGTCAGACAGTGTAAGTTTCTGTGTTTCCTAAATGGAGTAGTGTCTCCTTTCTGCAGTTTTCAGCATGCTCTGGCCATTGGTTACTACAGCACAGTGATGTTTTCGGAACTAACTCATTTTAAGATGGTCGTGTGATCTTGGGCTGGGGATTGTCTCTATCTCTTCTCCATTTTGGTGTCCCTGGGTTTTCCTGCTCACTCTCCAAGTTCTTGTTCCCCTCCCTCTTCTTTCTTTTCTACACTTTTTGGTGACAGGCACTATCCGCAAGGCTCAGAACCTCCTCAAACAGTACTCACAACACGGGCTTGATGGGAAAAAGGGAGGGTCCGGTCTTGGAGTCCTGGAAGGTAATTTGCATGTCTTTCATCCTTTTCTTGGGTGATTGGTTTTCAAGGGCCTTGCTCGCTTTGAATCTCAGATCAGAACACCTTCTCGAGTAGTGTTCTAGATGAAGATTTAAAATCAGCAGTGGTTGAACTCTGAATTAAATGGCATAGCTTTCAAGTGCAGGCTGCATCCTTTAGAGAAAATATTACCCTATACCTTCGCTCAGCTCATAAAGGCAAGGCAAAGTGTTAAAGAAATTATAGAAGAACTGAATTCGAAAATGGCTACATACAATATATTGTATACAAAAAAAAAAAGACAAGGCAATGGAAAATTATTGCTATGTTGTCAATTGAAACGGATGTAGCCTGCAGGGTTTGAGAGTTATGTTATCTGAAGCTGGAGGGAGCACATCTTACCTGCACGTTAATCCACCCAATTCCACCTTTTTCGGACACCGGACAGCCACTCTGAGTGACCTAGGCCTGTCTGTGACATGCCAGATAACTCTATCCCCTGCCTCCCAACTGAGCAGGTCATGATCAAGAATCTCGTGGCCGATACCACGGAGAGACCGTGGGAGAGAAACATGGGTCAGCCACTGGTAAGTACTTTGTTCAGATGGGACATACAGGATAGTCTTCTCACTGCGAGTCATACAAGTTTGTTTTTTTTCCTATATGTCTTGGAGAACATTACTGTTACATGACAGAGAATACCATTGCCTATTGGTGAATGAGCACAATACGACTGTTACACCTGAAATGTTATGATTCAATCTAGGTAAGGAAGATGTGCTGGATCTGGAAACAGACACCTACATATACTGTATCAGTGCTTTTGTGCGCCTTGCGCAAAGTGAGTACCTGTTACTGATGGACATCATTCCTGAGCACCACCAGAAGAAGACCTTTGATTCTCTCATTCAGGTGGGATACCTTCTACATTGCAATCCCCTTGATGCTTGTGCAAAATAGAGAACTTTCTTTGATCATGGACCTTATCTTTTAGCCCATTGAACCTACCTGTTTTTTTTTCTTTACAGGAGAGCTTAGATAACCTCATTTTGGAAGGAGAGAACATTGTCTTGGCCGCCAAGAAAGCCAACTCTAGACATGATTTCACGTCTGTCCTTAGTATCTTTCCCATCCTAAGACACCTCAAGCTCACTAAACCTGAGTTTGATAAAGTTCTGCAGGTTCGTATTTAGAAAGGGGGACATCCTCTTTAAATTGATATCTATTCACAATGTCAAATTCCAAAGGCCTCACAGAGTAGTGCAAATAGGAAGGAATTTTATTCAGGATCATGAGAACAAAATTCTATACAATGTTTCGGTGTCGAACCTTAATCATGTATGACGCCGAAACGTTGTATATAATTTTATTCTCCTGATCCTGAATGAAACTTCTTCCTCTTTCCACTACTCTGTAAAGCCTTTGGAAGTTGATTTTTTTAAAAAAATATTTCTAAGGGACTGCAGGTTCCTTCCACGGTGCTTCAGGCGTGGTAGCAGACTTTAATGGGTTCTTTTTGGAATTGGATATATTCACAATGTATTCTCCCTTCTCAGGGCACTGCTGCCAGCACCAAAAACAAGCTGCCGAACCTTATCACCTCTATAGAAACAACTGGAGCCAAAGCCCTTGAGGATTTTGCCGATAGTATTAAGGTAAGGCACCCCCCATACATTGCGTGGAACATCTATCTTCTCAGTGTTATAAGGCTTGGTATGACTTCAGAAATGTCCTTTCCGTTTCCTACAGAATGACCCTGACAAAGAGAACAGCATGTCCAAGGATGGCACAGTACACGAGCTGACCAGTAATGTAAGCACAAATCATTGAGATGGGATTGTGTCTTTAATGTTGTTATGTCTGTGACAATACAAGTAACTAAGCTACTTACCCTCTTCTTCTTGTTGTCCAGGCCATCCTTTTCCTGCAACAGTTGCTTGAGTTCCAGGAGACTGCAGGTGCAATGCTTGCTTCACAAGGTAATCCTGTGCCACCCCTCCCTTATCGCATGCTGCCCCTTCATCAATCCAGAACAACCCTGACTTTCTTTTTATGGAAAGTATGTTTTTGCTGTATGTTGTCATATAGGTCACCTCCTTCAAACATCAACTTCATTACTTGTTTGTATTGAAGGAATGAGTCATTTTAGGAAGCATCAACATAATTTAAATTTAATATTTCTGTAAACCATTTTTAAATGTCCTTTTTGAGAATATCATCTACTTTAATCTCATCATTCTCTAATAATAGGTGTCTAACTTTTTTTGTATGTTTTTCTGATTCTTGACTTCTGACTTATCCTGTATACATAGTATTTTTGAAACTGAAGATGAAAAATGTAAATTGTTTCACACAATATGCACCTACCTGATATTATTTGTGTCTTAGCGGAGTCACTCATCGTTTTACATTTTTTGCTTTCTTTTCCTTCTCGTATCCATCCATCCTCTTGTACACTTTCTAAGTCACTGTGTTGACTATTTTTCTATTCTGCTTCACCTCTGTGATTCACAACTTTTTAGTTTTACCTTGTCTCTCTCTCAAACTATGTTGCATATCTTCATCTAAGTGCTATTGAGTCTTTTTCGCTTGTCTGTCTCTGTGCTCTCCATCCTATTCGTCCTGTGTCTCGCTGTGCTTTCCAGCCAAGTAAACTATTTCTACCTCTGTGCTTCCCAGACAGATACATTATTCTCTATCTCTTTACTCTGTTGCCTGATTATCTTGTTTCTGTCTCTGTGCCCTCCAACTAAAGTGCCTTGTCTCTAGCACTGTGCTCGCCAATCAAATAACCTAGTCTTTATCTCGGTGTCCCCATCCAGATTATCTCTAGGTCAGCCCTTTCTAACCCAAGTTTTACTAAACATTTTACAGTGCAGGATTTTGGCATATTCTTATTTGAGCAAAGGTGAAGTAAAATAGTAGCAGTTCTCTGGCTGGATGGAACAGTGAGCTCACTGTCTCTGATGGCACAGCTTTCTGGTTTTACTGCAATGCCAGTCTGCAATATGTAAAGTGCCTGAGAATTATATTGTTTGATAGACGAGGGTCATCACACCTCTAGAATGTAAGCTCATTGAGCAGAGCCCTCCCCCTCTCTGCTCCTGTACGTCCAGTTGTCTGGTTACAATTACATGTATGTTAGTCCACCCATTGTACAGCGCTATGGAATTTGATGGCGCTATATAAATAATAAAATAATAATAATCACTGACCTGTTAGTTGCCAACCACTGGTGAATAGTTTATAAGTGCTGATTTAGACAGGGAGTTTCCAAGATAAGGATGTCTTATGTTCATTTGGATTTTAGGGACCATGAGCCTGTTGTAGGTATTATGTTTATTTATTGAGGGAGCGGGGAAACAACAGGTGAACATTGAATGCCTTCATGTTGTTTGTTCTTCTAGTAACTTTAGAATCCTCAAAGTCCAGGTGTCTTTATGTAGCACAGTCCCGGTTCCCCAATTTAATTTGCCTAACCAGTCTTCCATTTTCCAATGCATACTACAATCATAGGTATGCAGATGAATTAGCAACATGCTGTGCATGCACAGTAAAACAATGAGCAGAAATCCCCTATAATGCACTCCTAGAAGAGGCCACCGTACCCGTCCTTTCATGTCTGGTCGGTCTGTTTGCTGGAAAGTACTGTATTTATCTGCTCCTGGCAGATATCCTGAATAGCAACTGTATTAAGTTTGGTTTTTTTCTTTTGTTTTTTGTATCCCACATTTGTCCATACAGCCATTCTATTTTGTTTTCTCACTCTGTTTCACCAACATTGTTTTTTGTTTCTATACTCTTACTTTCTCCTTATTCTCTGTTTTTGGCTTACTTCCTTAATCTATTTCCTTCTTACATCTCTCAATTTACATTGACTTTTCTGCCTTCCACTCGCCTTCTCTTACTGGAATCCCCTATATTATCTCCTTTCCGACTGCACCCATAACTTTTTGCTTTAGTAACTTTGTCTTTTCTATTTACTGCACTAAACTGATTTATGTTCCCCCCCTCTTGTTCTTCTGGACCTTTTTCCCACTTTGCTTCTCTCTCCTTTCTCTTCCTGCTCTATTCTCAATAGTTCTTGGGGACACTTACAATATTCCTATCGATCCTAGAGGTAAGCAGTGTAATATTCTAAGGGTTCCATGAATTCTGTTCCCTGTTTACTATTTAAACTCACAGTTTGTGATGAAGAAAACATTAAACTATGTATATATTTGGCTCACTTGATATTTTTCTTTTCTTTTTTTCCCCATTGAGAAAAAAGTTATTGTATATAGTCTGCTGCCTATATATTTAGAATATAATTTCTCTTTCTTTGATCTGACCTCTGCCTTCCTAAGGGTCAAGCTTAAACAGACACTCTCAACTATATCCCATCTAGGAGTTAAATCACTTTTTTTTTTTTTTTTTATACATCCCTAGCTACACCTTCTTTGGCTTAGACTCACACAGCCTTCCTACACACTTCCTGAAAAGCGCTACATTTTTATAATTGCAAAGTGTGTTTAATTTATAATTTTTAATCTCGTGCTCTATAAATTGTCTACTTGAATCTGGAGCAGCCTCCTGTGTGTGTTTAAAGTTTTCAGTAGATGAGAACTTCTAAGGTAAATACACTCTGCTGTATGCACATGGTTTTTGAATTTAGTTGATCAACAGCTGTTGGAAGTTTTGTCATTTAAACTCCCCATCATTAGAGCTTCAAAATAGAAGTGTGACAAGTTTTCGTTAAACACGTGCATTGTCTGTTCTACACTGATTGTCTTATATGTATACAATTTATAGGTGCTGTTATTTTGTAGTAAATCTACTACTTCTCTGTGACGGTTACTATAGAACATCTACATCAGAAGCAGGCAACCTTTGGTACTCCAGATGTTGTTGACTACATGTCCTATAATGCTCTTATAGCCATAATGCTGGTAAAGCATCAGGGGAGATGTAATCCACAATATCTGGAGTGCCAAAGGTTTCCTATCCCTGATCTACATGTATCACTCCCATGCCCTGAAATCAGTGCGTGGGAAAATCTGGCAATTATTTCAAAATGATTTAAATGTGTGAGAGCTATGTCGTAAGTCAGCCAGATTCTAATTTGTAAAGGATGAGGTTTTTTTTGCTGCTAATTACCACTTTCTAGTTAAGAACAATAAGAATGTTTAGGCTGTGCATTGTACTATCCTAAATAACAAATGTTCGTTTTTGGAAGATGGAACAGTGGGTAAACTTTATGGACCAATTTCTCATCAGAAGTTGTCATTTCTATTAAGTACCAGAAGGGAGCAGTCTATCACCACTCTTAAAATGTGGCTTATGTGTTTTATGAGACTGTAATTTTAAACCGGTTTTATTTTCATGGGTAGGGGTGGGGGCAGTGTAGCAAATGGCTCTGTATTAAATGTGATTTGTATCTGTGGCTGGCAGATATACTTTGATTGCTCCATCAAATTCTTATTTTCTAGTAGTGAGCTAGAGTTGTCTTTGATGTGCAAGGCTCTCCGGTGTCTGCAACAAACCTTTTTACCAAAAATATAAATTACCATACCCTTCCCTTTTTTTTTTTTTCTTGGTGACTACGTTTTTGGCATTTTTATTACTGTTGGCCACTTCAGTCTCTCTTCCAAGTAACTGTATTGTTTAGTCATTCAATAACATTATAGGGTTTTTTTTTTTTTTTGGTGATTAGCTGTAGTGTCTTTCATTCCACCTTTGGCTATTTTGTTTCAGAAACCAGCACGAATGCTAGCAGTTACAGCTCCGAGTTCAGCCGCCGTTTGCTGAGCACCTATATCTGTGAGTATAAAGGGCTTCGCTAGCAGGATTGGCGAATAGGTATTCAAACAGAACCCTTGTAGCACTTTGAGGTTATTAAATTATCCATTCCACCTGTCGCTAACTTCCTCTACCCCTTGCAATCCAGGTACATCCCATCTATCAGCGTTATTCCCTAAAGTAAAATTCAAAGTGAATTCAAGATGAACTTGAAATTTAAGGCCAGAGTAGTTGAACTAAATGCACAGCTAAGAGAATTTTTCCAGATCTATTTTGGGTTTAAATGTAAAATTCACTTTGAATTCTCACTTTAGCCAATGTGAGATTTATTGCATAGTTCACTCTGCCTATCATCCTTCTCTATCTCACTCTCTTCCAAATCAGGTTTGGCATTTTTGTCTTTTTTTTTTTTTTTCCCCTCCCTCAGTTCTGAGCACTATTAACTGTAGGACTTTCATGTGTTCTGTTTTTCACTCATTTCTACACTCTATTATAATCTACCATATTTTATTTTATTTTTCTGCTATGTGTCTCACTTTGCATTTTCTGCACTATATACAGGCAAAGTACTTGGCAACCTGCAGCTGAAACTTTTGTCCAAGTCCAAAATGTATGAAGATCTGGCCCTGAGTGCTATATTCCTTCACAACAATTACAACTATATCTTAAAATCTCTTGAAAAGTAAGGCAAACCTTCTGAATGATATGAAATGTTTACTGCTTCACTATCGGGGTTTTTCTTTGTTTGTTTGTTTTTAACCCCTTAAGGACACATGACATGTGTGACATGTCATGATTCTCTTTTATGCCAGAAGTTTGGTCCTTAAGGGGTTAAACAAAAGATATGTTGCTCTTAAATTGCTATTTTTTTTTAAAGGACCCAGTCCAATGATCTACATAAATCAACTAACCTTCTAATCTTAAAAATTATTGTATTTATATAAGCCAGTCTGCAGATACGTAGATGATATTTCTGGCCCTGGCATAAAAAAATGTTTCTCTGACAAATGAGACGGTTATGGAACAAAAGGAAGATAAATGGTTCTCTGCTAGGTGAAGTCTGATTGTCTTGCTTTTTAAGTAAAAAAACTAAATTTAACACAAGTATATAAATTGTTGGGAGGCAAGAAGTTAACTCCATATTGCTGTTATTTTTTCCTATCTCTGGTGGTTTCTAAGAAAATGTTTATTTCCATAAGAAAGAACAAAAGATAATTAAGGGGGGCGGTGAGTGGGCAGCCTTTCATAACAAATGTGTCCCCTAGGGAGCGTAGTTTGCCATGGGCTGAATTAGAATTGTAAGTGGGGAGCATATGAGTGGAATGGTATATAGATCTAAGTAAGCCACCTCACCTTTTAATGCATATAAATATAGAACTTATGTTTACATTTTTAGTTTTGCAGTTTAATAATTTTAAAATCATCGATAAGATAACCATCTCCTGTTTAATTTTTCTCATCTTTTTTAAAGGGGCACTGTAGGCACCCAGACCACTTCAGCTCATTGAAGTAGTCTGGGTGATGTTACCCTTTTGCACTTAGTGCTGAAATGTAAAACATTGCAGTTCCAGAGAAATGCAATGTTTACATTGCAGCACTAAGTCTCCCAGACAGCCACTGGGGGCGCTTCCGGAATCCTAGCAGACTTTTGGTCTGTTATCTGACGCTGGACATCCTCACGGACCTCCAACGTGAGATTTTTCCCCATAGAAAAGCCTTGAATATTGCTTTCCTGTGGGGAGGTCTAATGCACACGCGGCCATTGCCGCACATGCACATTAGGTCTCCCCCACTGTCTGAAGTCTTTGCTGGATTCAGGTAAGTAGCTGAAGGGGTTCTAACCCCTTCAGCCCCGAGGGAGGGGGGACCTATTAACCCTATAGTGCCATGAAAACTGCTTTTGTTTTCATGGCACTATAGGATACCTTTAAAAAGTAAAACATGATTTTAGAAGCTACATAATCATTACTGTGGGGATTTTCGCCTTTCAGCCTTCTGACTAGATTTATTTTTGGTCGGATTCACTCTCCGCTTCCCCCACTTTTCCTACACCTAGAGTGTGTATCAATGCACATTTCAGTATTATACTTTCATCAAGGGCCTTTTAAATGATTTGCGTTGCTACTGAATGAGGGCCTTTGCATGAAAGGTCTTCTTAATCTAAGAAATTAGGCACAGCCTTTGTTCTCAATACAATCTCTTTAAATTATGTAATTCAAACCTAGTCCCAGACTCTAGGAGTCTGCATACAGGGTTCTATCTACAGCTTTGTGTGGGATTGTGAGCTATCATGTTAATATTCTGTATAGTTCTCAGTTCTGTCTTCCAGATGCCTGGAAATAGTGATAACTATGCATGTGGCTGAGTGTTTGTGTATGTCCTCAGATCAGAACTTATGCAGTTGGTTTCTGTGACTCAGAAGAATCCAGACAGTCTATATCGTGAGCACATTGAACAGCAGATTCAGATTTACCAACGCAGGTAAGTTGAAATAAACATCTAATTTTCCTCATAATAATTTCTACTTTTAAGAACACCTTTTACATTAATATTAAACGATTTATACTTGAAGCCCTGCTTTCTTTCTCCATCTGCTATATTTCACGCAAGCATGAGAGTACAGCACAGAGGTCTGTGCAGTAGACCACAAAACCATGGCATTCTCTATACACCTACTTGTGTGATTTGCAAGCAGATGATTGATTTCCAGGGCCATCGCTAGCTGTGACAAACTTAACGACAAAAGTCAGGTTTTCTCAACGTCCTGCTTGATCGTAAGACAAAGTAGTCCCTACTTTCTCGTACATCTTTTGCCTGTGTTGGAATACACAGTGTGCTGGCAATGTCTCATCATAAGAGTAAGAAGAGCTCCGGGAAACCGGACAAGCTTAATTTTTTTTTAGCCAGAAACCACTAACTGCGTCCGTGGCTGTGCAGGCCTCAAATCTAGACGAGGGCTTGGAATCTGATGGCGGACCCCCCGCGCGAGACCAGCAGACAATGCCCAAATCACGAAAGCTGACCTGGCATCAGCACTAGACAGCCTGTCTACCAAACTGATCTAATCCTGGCAGCACATGGCAGAATCTATGAGGAAGGACATCCAGGAGCTGGGAAGACGGATAACCCACATGGAAGATAAATGCGACGAATTCGCCACGGCCCACAATGACTTAGCCTCTAATGTAGAACACATGGCGGCCAGGCTGGATGCTCTCGAGGGGAAGATGGAGGATCTGGAAGATCGCTCCCGTCGCAGTAATTTGCGCCTGAGGGGCATCCCAGAGGAGGTCGCTAATGAAGACCTGCCGGCGTATGTGCGGGGCCTGCTACACGCCCATGCCCCTGAGATACCGGCAGATATGTTGCTGGTAGACCAGATCCACCGCATCCCTAAGCCCAAGTACCTTCAGGGCACATTACTACCATATTAAGGAGCACATCCTTCGCGGCAGTAAGATGCGGGCCACACCACCGCCAGATTACCCCACCATCAAGATATACGCGGATCTGTCAGCGGCAACATTAAGAAAGCGGAAAGCATTCCACCAGATTACAGCTACTCTGAGAACGCACGGCATTACTGGTTGCCAAAGATGGAGTCATAACTACCTTCGCAAACCCAGACGACGGTGCAAAGCAGCTGCAAGTATGGAACCTACAAGTAACACAGACAGTGTCAACGGCCAAACCTGCGGGTAATCTTACCGCGGAATGGAACAAGGCCGCTAAGAAACATTGAGACAGCCGGACCCTGGCCGGAGGAGAGTGGGACCTGCATGTGCCCCGACCCCAGATTCCGTAAGATGGCTGCCTTGGATGTGCCCTTCACGCCATCTCCCTTGTGGGACAGAATACTCCAGATGGATGGGCGGTCGGGTCTGGGGTTCCCCGCCGACCCCGTGACGAGGCACGAGCAGAGCGGGACCCTCTGCGGGGACCCCCGGACCGGGCTGCACGAAGGAGGTAAGGGCTCTCCCTGTTCCCCTGCTGGTCTCCCCCTGCCCGGTGCTCGGCTCCCCCGGGACTATGAACTGATCGAGAGGCGGCAACGGACAAGTGACTCGCCGCACGGCATAATAAATACTGGATCCGGACACTGCCAACAGGTTAGCGGACTTACAGCTGTCCTCCGCCCACCTGCATGCATGTTAGACTATGTACATAATAGGGTACCTAACTTTGCCATTAAAGATTACCCTACACAATATCACTCTACCCACTCCTCCAAATCCAGAGGTGTTTCCCTGTTAATCCATGCATCAATATCATTTGAACTTCTGCTTTTATAAAAGGTATTATACATTATATTGCACTGTAGAATTAATGATGTCATCTATAATTTGGTGGGAATATATAGCCCCAATGATAACCAGGGGAATTTTTTGCGGAAAGTGCTTTCTAAAATCCCTATTACGCAGACCAGAGACGTACTTACTATTAGTGCTGCCGAGAGGCTTCCCAAAAGCCACTCTACACCTCATGTGTCATATTATCATTACAGCCCTGGCGGCAATAGGAAAGATGTGGCTCAGGGACCTTTCGCCAGATATTGGGCAATGCTTGAGTGAGGTAGACATCACAAAATGGTACGAGATAGAAGTGAGACGCCTAAGACCCAAGGGGGAGTTCTGGCGGGCAGCATGGGACCAGTGGGAAATTTGATGACAACAGAACCTAAAGTCTTTTAAATCACAGCGGCTTTAAACCCTTAACACATACTTCTACTATCAGTAGACTGACACACCTTCCCCATACTTAACCTCTACCTAGTTTGCCCCCTCCCCTATCGCCAGAGGACGGGAACAACATAAACAGGACATGAATGTCCATGGAGTTGACATAAGAGTGACGATACCCGGGGCTCCCCATGTATTGGTGATAAATGACAGTTAAATGAGTAAGGGGAAGCAAGCTTGTTATATACTTGATCCACTTTGGAAGGGTGGCGGAATTAACCCTGGGTATTGTCTGTAATGTCTGAACAGTACATCCCTTTCTCTTCTGTACCCTTTCCCAATGACCTCTTAAAACTCAATAAAATATTGAAACAAAAAAAAATAAAAAAGACTTTTAGAAGAAACTTCAGGTGTGCCAGGATATTTCTTTTCTTCAACTTGATGTCTTCAGGGATTGACCCTGCTTTTCGGGAGCACCCTGCAGGAAGTATTACCTTTTTTTGTGTGTGTGTGTGCATTTTTCTTTTTCTTTTTCTTTTTTTTTTGCAACAACTGGAATTCCAATTTAGTCAGAATGAGTATTTCATAATTACTTTATCTTGATAAAATACTCTCAGAAAACTAATTTCTCATGACTTACCATTCCTTCTCGTTTTGTTGAACCGCTGTGACGTTTGTTTATTTATACCTGTAGTAGAACTTGCTTTTAATCAGGAACATAGCTGACATCACTCCTATTAAAAAAATGTAAAGAATCAGGATTTTCAGCTGGCTTCTTTTGAATTGATATATGAATGGCAAGCAATCCCTCTTGTTAACATATGACATAATGCTCTCAGCCATTTAATACAGTCTAATGCTCATATAATTTGTTCTGATCATTCTAAAATGTGAACTTCCTCATTAGCATAAGAATTCAGATCAGGATGATCAAGTGTACCCGAGTGTCTATCGCTATAGTTGCACAGACTAGCTCCGAAGCTTCAAAATTTCTCTCTATGCCTGCCTTTATTGGACTCGACTGTGCTCCCCTACCCATTAAGCCGGCAACCCTTCAGACCTTATCTTCTTAATCTTATTAATTGTAAGTCTTGTTTTAACTAGTGTACAGTGCTGTGGAATATGTTGGCGCTATATGTTATATGTTTTTTTTGTTTGTTTGTTTTTTTCGTGTGCAGAGATGGCTGCAAGAATTCTACGATTTAAGCGCATCCGTGTATTTTGTGCCATGATATATATATTTTTCATTTATAAATGTTTCTTTTTTCACAAACGAACATCATGTAATACTGTACATTGTTACCATAAATTGGGATATAGTGACTAGTACTTCAGCAAGGGGAATCAGGTTTTTGAATGTGTTAAATGACACATTAATGCCACAACTGGTACAATCACCAACTAGAAAGGATGCTTATCTGGATCTTGTTATAACAAACAAAGTTGATCTTTTGACCAACATTCAAGTAGGGGAGCATTTGGGAAATAGTGATCACAATATGGTAATATTTGAAATATTGGGACCGCTTCTATTTAACATATTTATAAATGATTTTGAAATCGGCATTGAAAGCCATGTTTCAGTGTTTGCAGATGACACAAAACTTACTGTAAAGTAATAACATGTGAACGGGATATTGCCTTGCTGCAGAGGGATTTGGATAGATTGGGGGTCTGGGCACTAAAATGGCAGATGAAATTTAATGTAGAGAAATGCAAAGTTATGCACTTCGGGGTTAAGAATGCACAAGCAATTTACACCCTAAATGGTAGTGAATTAGGAATAACCACATACGAGAAGGATTTGGGAATTGTTATAGACAACAAATTAGGCAGCAATATGCAATGTCAGTCTGCAGTTGCTAAGGCCAGTAAGGTTTTGTCATGTATAAATAGGGGCATAAATTCTCGGGATGAAAATATAATTTTGCTTCTTTATAAATCTCTGGTTAGACCACACTTTCAATATGCTGTGCAATTTTGGGCACCTGTTCTAAAGAAGGATATCATGGCACTAGAAAAAGCACAGAGACGAGCTACAAAATTGATAAAAGGAATGGAGCATTTTAGTTACGAAGAAAGGTTAAAAAATGTAAATCTCTTTAGTTTGGAAAAACGTCGCCTCAGAGGGGATATGATAACGTTATACAAATATATTCGGGACCAGTACAAACCATTATCTGGAAATCTATTCATAAACAGGCTTATACAAAGGACACGAGGTCACGCATTTAGGCTGGAAGAAAGGAGATTTCATCGAAGGCAAAGAAAGGGTTTTTTTTTTTCTGTAAGAGCAACAAGGATGTGGAATTCTCTGCCTGAGAGGTGGTTTTATCAGAGTCCATACAGATGGTTAAACAGCAATTGAATAAATACTTGCAAAAACATAACATACAGGGATATAATTTCTAATTAGTGGGGTAATAGCTGCTTGATCCAAGAAGACATCTGACTGCTATTTTGGGGTCAAGAAGGATTTTTTTTCCCCTAGTTTGTTGCAAAATTGGAAGCGCTTCAGACTGGGTTTTTTGCCTTCTTTTGGATCAACAGCAAAAACATTTGTGAGGAAGGCTGAACTCGATGGATGCAAGTCTCTTATCAGCTATGTAACTATGCAACCTATACATGAAATCCAAATTGACATCAATCATAACACTCGGTTAATTTACAATATAAATGTAGTACTTGTTTGTTACTTTCTTATGAGCAGACAACCTGATACAATTATTATTATTATTTATATAGTGCCATCAGATTCTGTAGCGCTGTACAATGGGTAAAAAATTGCATCTTAAATCAAATTTTTGGGAAAGGGTTCACAATTTGCATGTCTCTGTAACATAATACATACTCTCCTAAAGTGAATGCACCATAAAGATCCATACATGAGGAAATGAGTTAAGATTTAACAAAAAATTCTGAATAAAAATATAAAACTTTAAAACAGAACAAAACACAGCACTCTTCAACTTTTCGAATATTTGTAACACTAAGGTGGGTGTTCACACTTTTCCGAGTAAATGTTTTGGGTAATAATCCTCTATTCTGGTAGTGCTACTAGAGACCAGATAAGGTCATTCCTTTAGAGATCTCCTGTCAATGTATTCAAGTTGTCTACCAGTTAACGTTGGGTGATATATTGCAGCCCCAATAGTTAGATCCTGGATATGTTGTTGTCCATAGTATTGTTCTGCTACTCCCTTGCCTACCCAAATCCCTCCAGTGTTCCCCTCTGTTAGTATGGTACATATGTCTTTTTATACAAGTACAAGTATCCGCCTATTTTAATCAGTGGTAATATGCTCTTCTCAGTATTCTTTTGTTTTTTTTTCCATGGTTCCCATATTTTGTCATGTATAGGTTGTTATTTGAGGACCATCTCATTTCCTCCATAACCCTCAAGTTTTCTATTCTGGATAACCATGCCGCACGCAAAGGTTGGATATTGTGCCATGATATTTATGTGCTGCGAAATACCTAGTCTCTAATCCCTTCTCGTTTCTCCTGCAGCTGGCTGAAAGTCACAGATTATGTTTCGGACAGGAACATGCCAGCTATTCAAGGACAAAAGGTGACTAAAATGCACGTTGAATAGCACCTGCATTTCTTTGTTAATCCCAAGTACATTTATTAAAACCCTCAATATGTCTCTTTTTCAGCTGAAGGATAAAGAGCGACAGATGATTAAAGAGCGTTTCAAAGTGAGAAGGGAGTTGGGCGGCATATGGCCTAAGTCAACCATTTTTCTAATTTGCTGTCAATGCAAACACTGTATGTTAAAATCTATATATAGGGCAAGGTGTAGGAACAAAAAAAAAATTAAAAATTGTAAACTAATGCAGTCAGTAGAAGAAAAAAGTATAAGGATTTAAAATAAGCATCTAAAACGCTTAACTTCCTAGTAATGATCATAAAAAGCTAAACCTTTTCAAGCCTGTATAGGAAATCCATCTTTCATCTGAGCTGATAATTGCAGACAGGAGCCTGTGTTCTTGTGCTGTAACATCTATTACAAAACACCTGGTGTGAAATACAGGGGCTTGCTTACATACATCATCGATGCAATAATCTCCCTAACATACCAAGTGAATTGCAGTTCTCAGTGTTAAGCTTTAGATACAATGAAATAGCTAGTTATTACAAATGATTTATTTATTTTATTTTATTTCTCTCTCTTTCTTTCTTACTTTTTTTTCTCTCTCTCTTTCTCCCTCTATCCATCTCTTCCTCTCTCTCTCTCTCCCCTTCCAAAACAACTTTAGCTTCATGGAGTATTTTTTGTTGTATATATCATACCACCTCTATCTAACTGCCTAATTGCAATCTGGAATTCAATAAATGTGTTTATGCAGCCCTAGTCACACCTCCCCTGCATGTGACTTACACAGTCTCCCTACACATTTCCTGTAAAGAGAGATGCAATGTTTAAACTTCCTTTATTGCACAGTACTATTTAATTCAGAATTTCATATCTCCTGCTCTATTAATAGCTACAATTTTTCTGCAGACTGTGTCAGTTACAGCCTCACAACGAGGTGAGGTATGGCTAGTGCTGCATAAACAGAAACAAAAATGATTTTACCCCTAAATGGCAGAGAATTGAGTAGTGAGACTTTCAGGGCATGATCTGTACACACAAACCGCTTAATTATGCTAAAGTTGTTTAGTGCTTAGAATTGTTTTTGGTACTTAGAGTATCTCTTTAATCTCCTTAGCTAAAAACTGATCAGTAGATCAGAAACAAAGTTAATGTTTTGAATATAAGCTCTCATTGCTTTTGTGTTTTGTTAATTGTCATTGAGCTATCTTGGTCGTTTTAAGTAGATTTCTATTAGCAGAGTTCAAGAGTTGAGAATGTTTGTAGCGGATATATAGTCCTATATCCATCCATTGTTTGTGCAAATTACAGGACATCTAAAGTCACCCAGACTACGTCACACCCAGTGGCCTGTCATGCAGCAGCCCTCTAATTTTAACCCTCAATTGTAAAACATTGCAGTTTTGTAGAAAATTGCTATTTTCATATTGCAGGGTTAAATGCACCTCTAGTGGTTGTCTTCCAGACAGTCATTAGAGGTGCTTTTACAGCAATGACAGAGTGACCAATACAGCTCATAGGAAAGCACTGAATGTAATGCCTTCCTATGTGAAACATTTGGATATGCGCTCGCCACATATGCACATCAGTCCCTAATGAGAATGATTGGATTGGACATCTGTGAGATAGCCAGGTAGCATTGCAGGAGAAAGAACGTGTGGCAGCAATGAGGGTCCATGTCACTATACTGTTAGGAGTACAGGTTTGTATTCCTAATGCTATGGTGCTCCATTAACTAGCTAGAGTGACATTCTAGCAAATGCATACAATGTAAATGTATTTTTTTTTTCTTTCTATCTAATGTGGTCATAGGGATTTAATGATGGTTTGGAAGAAATATGTAAAATCCAGAAGTCATGGGCCATTCCAGACAAGCGTCAGCGGGAAAGAATACGTCAATCCCAGAAGAGCATTGTGCAAGAGGCATATGCAGCATTCTTACGCAAGTAAGAATCAGGAGGATATTTGGTTTTTTTTTCTAATCAACAAAAACATTTTGCTCTTTTCCCAGGAGCCCATGATCTACCTCTTGATCAGAGCTCAGAATTTGCACTTGCCCAGTAGCTAGTAGCGATTGAGAGTTTAGCCATGACAAGTAGAGATTTATTCCTGATGTGTGTACCATGGACTCTCCAGGCTTCTAGTGACAAGTAACCTTTAGGCCTGTCTAGCAGAACAGAGCTTGACATTTTTAGCCTCCTGCTATTGATGTTCTCCTCAAGTTCTTTCTACTTGACTGTGTTGCCCAAGAGCTTTTCTATTTTAATCGATTACCTTTTTTTTTTTTTTTTATTGTCACAGTGTAATTCAAGGATTTAAAGACAAAACAGAGTTTTGGTATTGGTGCTTGCACCCCCTAGTTGGCGTGTTTGTTGAATCCAGTATTCAACCGTATCTCATATCTGCGTTCAGTTCAGAAAATGTTATTCTTCCTTATGCCCTCTCCTAGTTCAGCCACCCTCATTCAGTCTTGCACACTGTTTTGCTACTTCTGAGGTCAAGTTTAGAAAAGAAAAAAAACTCCAGGTACCTCTGAGTACTTCCAAGCACTCCACCAGACTCCATCATCACCGTAGTCCCCACTTCCAGTGTTACAGCTTGGCTGGGGTATCGGTGTCCTGCACCCACCCTGGACCCAAGACCAGGATCCAGCTTCCTGTGGGCAGACCTCTCCTACCCAGCTTCCTGTGGGCAGACCTCTCCTACTCCAGAGAATATAGTGATATAACAATCCCCAGAGACACATACAATGATACTCTATGTTAAGGGTAGGCAGGAACGGGTAGTTTATTGGCAGCCACAACTGGCCTTATATTCAGGTCCCCATGCAAGGGCCACTCCCCCCTGAATCTGAGAGTAGACTACAGTAAAAACAACCACACAATGACATTGGCTCTCAGGTCCAGGACACTCCCATACACAAATGAAATAATCCCTCCTCTGTGCCTGGGAGATAATTGGACTAGATTAGTACAGTTCCTTGTTCAATTATCTCAAAGTACAGAAAAACATGCTTTTTAACAGTACCCTGAAAGTACCCCCCAAAACCCATGGAAACATCACAAAAGTTACATCCCCTAATAGCCCCGATCTGGGTGACCAACATATCCAAATCACCCAGATCGGTTTAGGGGTTCAGGAATTTCCTGGAAATCATAGTTTTGACCGACCGCACGCATGGTTCCATGCCCAAAACGGTTCCATGAAATAAGCGCTAATGGTCGGTCAACTTCAGTAGTCTTTTACAGGTTTCCCTGCAGGGCCCATAGTCTGTGGGCAGGTGGCTGCAAGCAAGCTCCTCCAGGAGCTCGTGGCAAACTCACATGGAAAGGGGAGTTTGTCACAACAACCATCAGATAAGATGCGCTTGTTTGATCCTTGACTCCCGTTAAGATTTGGTTCTATAATACTATGAAACACGAAGTGGCAAAATTGTTGACCGCCTTCCTTCACTTGTGTGTCCCACCACTCATCTGTCCTTGCTTTGTTTATAATATCTTATAGAGTAACCTCAACCTAGTTATTACCTTCAATTGGCTAATTAAAAACCCCTGGTCACTCTTTGGATTAGCCAGGCTGCTGTGGCTGTCACAGATGGTTGCCAATATTCTATATATTTTTTTTAAAATTAAATGTAAATTATAATTCTTGTGCTTCTTCCTTTCTTGCAGGTATGGCACTGGTGTTAATTTCACCAAGAATCCTGATAAATACATTAAATATTCAGTGGAGCAAGTTGGAGACATGATTGAGAGGTTATTTGACACATCTGCATGAAGATCTTAACTTCCTTATGATAACTGTATATATTATATATAAATATTCAACCTCCTAAATCTGTATATACACTAAGAACATAACTCATTAAACTCTAACCTCATTTACCTGGTTCGGTCTGTGTATCTTGGTGTTCTAGGGGTGCAGGATGCGATAAATGATTTGAAAAATAGCCCACCTGACGCATGTAGTGCAGTACTGGACATCTGATCTTAATGAAGGATATTTTTATTATTATTATTATTGCCATTTATATAGCGCCAACAGAATCCGTAGCACTTTACAATATTATGAGAGGGGATTTAACTATAAATAGGATAATTACAAATATAAAATAGGTTGAAGAGGACCCTGCTCAATCAAGCTTACATTCTATAGGAGGTGGGGTGTAAAACACATTAGGACAGGAATTTGCAGTCAAATAAGGTGGGCTGCCCTTTAGGAGAGAGCAAGAGACAGGTATGTGAGGTAGAGGTTTGTCTTGGAGGTCATAAGCTTTCCTAAAGAGATGAGTTTTAAGGCACTTCTTAAAAGATGCAAGACTAGGGGAGAGTCTGATGGAGGTAGGCAGGCTATTCCATAGGAAGGAAGATGCCCGCGAGAAGTCCTGCAAGCGTGACAGGAGGTAGTCACGGGCAGAGCGGAGAGACCGAGAAGGGACATACCTATGGATCTGTGAGGAGATATAAGGGGGGCTAGAGTTGTTCAGTGCTTTATAGGTGTGAATTAGTACCTTGAATTGACTCCTATAGGATACAGGAAGTCAATGTAAGGACTGGCAGAGGGGTGAGGTGTGAGAGAAACAACTAGAGAGGAAAATCAGTCTGGCAGCAGCGTTCATTATGGACTGTAGCGGTGCAGTACGGCTTTTGGGAAGAGCAATTAGGAGAGGGTTACAATAATTCATGTGTAAAGAAACTAGAGCATGGACCAGCTCCTTGGTAGCATCTTGTGTAAGAAAGGGGCAGATGCGGGCTATGTTTTTAAGATGGAATCTACAGGATTTGGTAACATGCTGGATGTGAGGCTCAAAGGTGAGGCCAGAATCAAGTATAGCGCCAAGACAGCACGCTTGCATGGATGGACTGATGTGGGTACCACAAACTTGAAGGGAGAGCGAAAGAGGAGGAAAGACAAGGAGCTCAGTTTTAGAGAGATTGAGTTTTGGAACTGGAAGTGCACAGGAAAATGACAAGATTATTACTGGGAGATTTATATGTCTAAAGAGGATGTTTTATCAGATAATGTATGAGCAGAATATTCAACGATGTAATACTTGTGTAACTTATTTTTCAGTTATTGCGGGTGTAAAATTATTTGTAAGATCCATCCCAAATTGACTTATACCTTTCAACTATCCCTATTTGGGAAGCACATCAATGACCCTCAGAGCATTACATCCCCTATGACACTGACAGTCTATCTTTTGTTGCCAGAGCATCATATGCCAAAACAAAAAACTTGAGCGTACCACGGAGTATAGCATCAACTACAGTGCATTGCCTTTCACATGCTGTGTTTATTTTTAAGGTAACAAGTTAATTCCTTCCCAACATTGGGGTGCTATCCTGTGCTACAATAGGGGGGCTTTAGGGCCATTAAGGTGCATAGCACGCCCTAACGATCTGGCCCTCCTTTTGGACCGCCTTTTTTATCCATGCTGCCGATCAAGATCAGGTACCTGCGTGGCAACCCAGGCAGTCCCCCTGCAGCCAATGCCGGCGATCCGAAACAAGTGATCACAGTGACAACCTGTCACCATCATCACTGTTACTATGTTTTAGCCAATGATTTGTAACATTGGCTTAGACATTGTTCTCTGCCCCTCTCTTTCCTAACTCTGATCTGATGTGAGAGAGACAGAGATGTCATTGCTACAGGGTGTGAAAAGTAACAAGATTATTACTTTTAAAGGGACACTACAGTCACCAGAACTACTACAGCTTAATGTACTTGTGCTGGTGAGTCTAGTCAGTCCCTGCAGGTTTTTTGCTGGCAAGCGGCTGGAACGATAGAGCCTCACCTTCAGCCCTATGCCAGAATGGGATGCTGCCACTTCGGTACCCAGAAAAGAAATATGTGTTGTCTACAATACACAACAAAAGCACAGTGCCAATGTCTGTCAGAGGAAGAACTGAGCAGCTGGAAAAACAGAAGCACATTGTAGACTACGGCAAGTATGCAGGGGGAGTAGACTTGGCTGATCAATGTCTACAGCCTTATCTGGTGAATGAAAAACTAGTCCTGGTATAAGAAAATAGCAATCTATTTAAGCCAGGTTGCGATTTACTAATTCCTATGTGCTATATAAAAATAATCAGGCAAACCATACCCATTTCTTGATTTTATGTTAGTGTCTGATAGTTTATTTACCCAATCCCTCACCATCTCTCTTTGGAATCAGGTGATTTCTTCTAGGAGTCAGAGGATCACACATGCTGTGGTGAAACCTGATCTGTTTCCCTGCAGCTCCGTGTGAGCTGTGAACTGCAGAGAGACAGATCAGTGCTGATCTGTCTCTGGCTGTAAAAAAACAAAAAACAGTTAGTTACAAAATCCACGCTAAGGTTTCAAATATGCCTTTTGAAACACCCTGGGGTGTCTTCTTTAGGAAATGGTATGCCTTTGTGAAGTAATTGGAAAACAAACCCTATTAAAAAAATTCCAAAGTGAGGCATGGGCCCAGCGTAAAAATTCTAACTTAAATAGCTGTGTCTCAAATGTGTCCCTTCAACGTTGTCATATACCTGGCCAAGGTACAAACGGAGGTATTGCTGTACTCAGATGACATAGCGGAGCAACATATGATGTATTATACTGCTGTAGCACAAATAAGGTTTGCAAAATATATATTACAAACTCAATGAGTATGTCAAAAAGGCATAAAAAATGCTTATTACCACTACACTTGGTATAAGCTAGCGGAAAAATTATTTCACGCTAAGGTCCAAAATACATCTTTTGAAATACCCTAGTGTGTCTTCTTTAAGAAATGGTATGTCTTTATGGGGTAGCTGGAATAATTAACCTACAAAAAAAAACTCTAAAGTGGGGTATGGACACAGCGTAAACATGTAAAGTTTGAAAAAACTTAAATGGCTGTGTCTCAAATGTGCCCCTTCAATGTCCGCATATACCTGGCAAAGGTACATATGGGGGTATTGCTGTGCTTGGACAACATAGCTGAGCAAGATAGGAATTATTATATGGCCATAGCACACATAAGGTTTGCAAAATACACATTACAAACTCACTGTGTGTGTCAAAAAAGGAGAAAAATGCTTATTCCCACTACACTTGGTACAAGCTAGCGGAAAAATGATCCCACGCTAAGGTTCAAAATATGCCTTGTGAAATACCCTGGGATGTCTTCTTTAAGAAATAGTATGCTTTTATGGGATAGTTTGAATATATAGCCTGCTAAAAAAACTCCAAAGTGGGGTAACAACACAGCGGACAGGGGTATTGCTGTACTCAGACAACCTAGCTAAGCAACATATAAAGTATTATAAAGCCGTAGCACATATAAGGTTTGCAAAATATACAGTACAAACTCACTGTTTGTCAAAAAGGCAGAAAAAAATGCTTATTGCCACTACACTTGACACAAGCTAACGGAAAAATTATCCCACGCTAAGGTTCAAAATTTGCCTTTTGAAATACCCTTGGGCGTCTTCTTTAAGAAATAGTATGCCTTTTTGGGGTAGTTGGAAAAAGCAGCCTGCTAACATATTTAAAAATAGAATACGGACCCATTAAAACTCTCCATGTAAATTGACACTTAAAAACCTGAACTTGTCACGTCTCTTTCACAGCACTGTAACTTCACAAAATAGTGTCTAAGTTATACATTGGGCATATTGTTTTACTCAGAAGAAGTAACTGAGCATACTAAGGGGGAATTTATGACAGTGGCACTTATCAGATGTAAGAAATACCCAGCGAAAATGCAACATGTATGAAAAAAATTATTTAGTTTTTTCTCACCACAAAATTTGAAATAAATTGGTGAAAAATTGGTGACAAGTTAAGGTATAATATATGCCTAATAATATACCCTGGAGTGTCTGCTTTCTCAAATGGAAGGCCTTTGTGAGGTTATTTGAACAGTCAAATGGCTATAGTGCCACAAAATCAGACAAATGACCATCTATGAAAATTCCAACTATAGAAACTGAAATAGCATGGTGTAAAAAATGTAGATGAATGGATGTTAATGTAGACTCTTTCTTAATTTCTTCTTGTCTTCAGTTGATTGATATATATACGTCTTTTGTATATATATTCTTGGGCCAAATGCTCGCCACAATAATATATGTCTATATTATTGAAAAGTAGTAATACGCAATCTGACTTACGGTTTCTTCAGGTTTATTCTTAGTTACGGATACATAAAACAACAAATGATGTTACAGGATAATGGACATTCAACAGCAGATGGTAATTGCTGGACTTCTGATGGGAGAGTTACATCGTTGTACAGAGCCAAGCCAAGAGTGAGACCGACCTCGTGTCCCTCTGTTACTATATAGATGTGCTAATACTAACGTCAGCATATAACTCTAGCCATATAAGGACAAACCCCCCACATCCACATTCCAGAGCTCTCGGACAAAGAAAGCCTTGTGACTTATTGATACCATCTGTTACTTATGTCAATCCACACATCCATATATATAATCAATAGAAACATAGAATATGCAATATTCTACATTCCCTCTGTTTATGGTTTGTTTTAAAACCATAACACAATGTCAATAACCTGTCCATTCATACATCACTTGATTCACATTCATTGAGCATAGAACAAGATGTAGTCACAATTTTCTATTATATGAGAGTTCTTGGAAGGTCGAGTTTCTATCCCTCATACTGCTTACTTTACTTCAAAACTCCCTCTGTTTCAGCTAAGTATTGATATCCATATCCATGTTACATCATAACTACTTGAACATAATATGTACATATATATAACAATGATAAATGAATAAAATAAAATATTTACAAATGTTGATCCAATAAACAATAAAGCAATCAGAAAGATCTACCTGCTCTTGTACAGTCGTATCTTTGTAGATAACAAAATCAAGATCGTAACTTTCTAAATAATAACTGTGTATCACTATCCTATTCCTACAGACACATATGGCATAGTATTTTCATTCTCAATACCTGATATTACTAAAATACTAATACATGTATTACTATAATATCCTGTCCAATTAGATTTCCATGAATCATATGGTTTCTAGCAACCTTAAAATCTTTAGGTCATTTGTATTCATGAATTACATTCCTATACCATTAATACCACCTAGTGATAATTGTATCAGTACTTTACAATCATAGTATTTAATTTGTATATTCAGTAGGCTCTCACTACCTGAAATATACCAACACTACTTATAAGTCTCATTCAAAGGATGTGTTATCAACCATGAAGTTCTATAATAATTCTTCAAATAATGTTCATGGTGTTGACAATACTTATTGTCCTAGAAATTCTCCACCCAGAAATCTTTCTATCATAGATTTGTTTTTGTTTACATAATTATAATTTTCACTAAAATTCCACCTTGTAGTAACAAACTTTTCATTCAACAGAAACATAGTTTACTTTAAAATAACTTGGAAAGAATAATATAAATTCATTAGCATCACTCTCTTCATTAGCATTGTGATGACTTATTAATGTAATACATCTTAAAAGCAGGATTGTCCTAATGTTCTGACCAATCCGTATTCCTTAGTACACTTCAACTGACTAAAATAAAATAAAATAAAATAAACTTGGGGTCATACTGCCCAGAAACTCTTATTCCTAGTCTGTGTCTAACAAACTCAGGGAAATCTTAACTTAACAATGTATTCATTGGATACCGTCATATCCAGAAACCTATTCTCCCTAGTCCATACCTTTATAGACTTAGGTCAAATATAATTGTGTACTATACTCTTTCCATTCAATTCGGTTCCTCTTGGATCTCTGAACTCTTATATCCAAGGCCTTCTTAATGTATACTATTACTTAATATTAATCAATATAAATTATCCTTCCTTAGTTTTCTTCCTTTTATTACCATTGTTTGTTTTACTTCAACTATATAAACAAATTACTCATTATAGTTAATCTATGAAATCCTATTGAACTCAATCTTTGTGGTATTAAGTAACCATGATCCTTATTTTATCGACTTCATATTTTATCTTCCTCTGATACTTCTCATTCTATGTATAGGTAATAATGTAATAGTTCTCTTCATAATACCATCCATTAATAATGTTACTCCATGTGTTATATAGTTATAAGTAGTCTCTCTTGGTATTAATACTCATAACTGTTAAATAACTTTTCATTGTCTGTTTTCTTCATTAATATTTAGGAATATATATGTATGTTAGTGTCAATCTTTTATTTCTTTGTAAGTCTGTTAATCTTCTGTATCGAATGAACTCTGTAGAATCTTCCATCACAGTTTGCCGATCAGATGAAAAGTCTCTTTCCAACAGTCGATGTCCAGTTGTCTGAAGGAATGCTTTCCTGATTTATTGCCACATGGATCTGTCACGCTTTACCAGATCAGTTATCTCTGTCTATTTCGTTGCTTCAGCCACACAGCTGCGCAGTTCTTTGCTTGGATCTGGAAATTTGCCAATCTCTGCCACGTGCTTGCTTCTAGATTTCACGTTGTATCTTGTGCTTTTTGTCTCAGTTGTAGGAAATAGTCTTGTACAGTCTTTGTGATTTGAAAACTTTCTTTTTCTTACAAATACAGTTCTTCTATAACAGTCAGTCTAGATTCTTTTTTTCTCTTCAAGTTTGTTTTCCCAGTTCCAAAATAGCTTTGTAACTCGATTCTTCTCTCTCCCCCCTTGAAGTGGGAACAAAACTTGAATAGAAGACTGGCTGGCTAGCCAATGTAAAATCTGGTTTAGAATGGTGAATGGTGTTAACGTAGACTCTTTCTTAATTTCTTCTTGTCTTCAGTTGATTGATATATATACGTCTTTTGTAAATATATTCTTGGGCCAAATGCTCGCCACAATAATATATGTCTATATTATTGAAAAGTAGTAATACGCAATCTGACTTACGGTTTCTTCAGGTTTATTCTTAGTTACGGATACATAAAACAACAAATGATGTTACAGGATAATGGACATTCAACAGCAGATGGTAATTGCTGGACTTCTAATGGGAGAGTTACATCGTTGTACAGAGCCAAGCCAAGAGTGAGACCGACCTCGTGTCCCTCTGTTACTATATAGATGTGCTAATACTAACGTCAGCATATAACTCTAGCCATATAAGGACAAACCCCCCACATCCACATTCCAGAGCTCTCGGACAAAGAAAGCCTTGTGACTTATTGATACCATCTGTTACTTATGTCAATCCACACATCCATATATATAATCAATAGAAACATAGAATATGCAATATTCTACACATGGTCTCCTATATGGCATTGTAGCTTCACAGACTAGCGGCAAAGGTATACAATGGGAGTATCGTTGTACTCAGCATATATAGCTGAACACAATATGGGGTTCTGTACAGGGATAGCACACACTAGGTTTACGAAATACACATTACAAAAACCTTGTTATATGTGTATATGCCAAAATAGAGAAAAAACACATTTTTACTCCAATATTTAGCAGAGATTGGCAGTGAAATGGCTACTCAAAAAGTGTCAGACTAACCTTAGGTAAATAGCCCGTGATGTCTACTTTATATAAATATATACTTTTGTGGGGCAATTTTGTTTCCTGTAATGGGTATTAAACTTCCAATACAAACATACCAACTTCTAAAATTGTTTCACATTGAAATTTTATTTTAAACCTGTAGTTTGTGACCGGTAACTTTCAAAATAAACTGAAATCCTACACATATTATGTACTTTGTAAATCAAGACACATAAATTAATTTATTTTGAATTACTTTTTCTAAGCTGGACATATTATGCACACATTATTATTGCCAAAACTTGGGGGGGGGAGCATTTTTATGTTTTTTCCACATTATTTTGCATTTTTTTTGTAATAAATTAGAATTTATATATGTATATGTCACATCAAGTTAAAGCCCTTTTTGTTGTCTAAAAAACGGTATATAATATGTGTTGGTACAATAAATGAGAGATATGCAAATTGCAGTTAAACGCAAACAGCAAATGCATATGCAAAAATTGCTTGTGTCCTTAAAGGACCACTCTCGGAAGAATAGTTCATCTTCAGGAGTGCCCTATTCCCCAGCTGTGCAAAACAAGAGGAAGGACACTCCTACCAAAAAGCCAGCCAAGAGACCAGGTCAGACAAATGTTGAGATCACTTACTGAAGTAGCTTCTCAGAGCATTCTCAATTTCTCAATTTCAGCTTAATGAAGTGGTCTGGGTGCCAGGTCCAGCTAGGGTTAACCCATTTTTTCATAAACATAGCAGTTTCAGAGAAACTGCTATGTTTATGAATGGGTTAAGCCTTCCCCCTAATCCTCTAGTGGCTGTCTCATTGACAGCCACTAGAAGCGCTTGCGTGCTTCTCACTGTGATTTTCACAGTGAGAGCACGCCAGCGTCCATAGGAAAGCATTATGAATGCTTTCCTATGTGACCGGCTGAATGCGCGCGCAGCTCTTGCCGCGCGTGCGCATTCAGCCGACAGGGCGGAGAAGAGGAGGATCGGAGGAGGAGAGCTCCCTGCCCAGCGCTGGAAAAAGGTAAGTTTTTACCCCTTTCCTCCCTTCCAGAGCCGGGCGGGAGAGGGTCCCTGAGGGTGCCCCCACCCTCAGGGCACTATAGTGCCAGGAAAACGAGTATGTTTTCCTGGCACTATAGGGGTCCTTTAAGGGTATATCCAGCTTCTGAAGCTGTGTGAAGCTTGTCCTTACCGTCTTGTTAGCTTGTTATACCAACTACTCTGACTTCTGGATTCCCCTGACTTTGACCTGTGCCTGTTTACAGTAAGTCCAGCCATTATAAACTGATTAAAAATACTACATTTAGAGTAATTGGTAAAATGGTTTGCCATCATGAGTTTAATTTTATATGTTAGGTTGCCATGTTCTCTCAAAGACGACATAGGCCCAGAAAATCACTTTGTCAATTTTACAATTTGAAAAGGGCATCCCATATATATCTTTAAAGGAAAACTAGAGGGTGAGGAACACAGACATGTATTTCTGACCCTACAGTGTTAAAAACACCATCTGGCCCCCTTTGCCCCCCTTAAATATAGAACAATCTTACTTTTATTCCAGTCTGCTGCTGCTTGCTTTGCCCCTGATATGCCTGCTTAGTTGACCTCATCAGAAGTGGTTCTCTCAGCCAATCACAATGCTTTCCCATAGGAAAGCATTGAATTGGCTGAGACTGTCAAGGAGGCAGATCAGGGGCAGAGCCAGCACAAGCCAAACCAGCCCTGGATAATCATAATCTCCTCAGAGATGCATTGAATCCATGCATCTCTATGAGGAAAGTCCAGTGACTCCATGCAGAGGGTAAAATAGGTAGATGCAGTCTCTGACAACACAGCACAGGACTCTGTGAGCCTCACAGGGTTACACAGATTTTTGTTACACTAGTATTTTTATTTTATTTTTTTGTGCTGTGGCCGATGTGGACCCCCCTTGTGTTTTTTTTAAAGTTTTATTAAAATAACTTTATTCCAGAGCAGGGACAATCTCCTTATTCTAGCCCAATTCTCTTCTAGTGATGTTACCAATCCCAATGGATTTTGCCCAATCAGATGATGTTCATAAAAATGTGTTGAGGGAACAGTGCTTGCACGGCAACCTCTTCAATCTGGCAATCCAGTCCTTCTTGCAGAGAAATATTGGACGAACACAGCACCTGGTATCTGCATCTTTGGCATGCTGACACTAGAAGTCAAATTCAATGATTGCAACTATTTCTCTTGGAAGCCTTCCTAGGGGGCTGTCGATCTGAGAGCCACTAAGTGTGTGGAGTTTGCAAAATGTAAACAGTCTGTTTCTCAGAAACTGCACCAATTTAAAGGGACACTATAGTCACCTGAACAACTTTAGCTTAATGAAGCAGTTTTGGTGTATAGAATATGCCCCTGCAGCCTCACTGCTCAATCCTCTGCCATTTAGGAGTTAAATCCCTTTGTTTATGAACCCTAGTCACACCTCCCTGCATGTGACTTGCACAGCCTTCCATAAACGCTTCCTGTAAAGAGAGCCCTATTTAGGCTTTCTTTATTGCAAGTTCTGTTTAATTAAGATTTGCTTATCCCCTGCTATGTTAATAGCTTGCTAGACCCTGCAAGAGCCTCCTGTATATGATTAAAGTTCAATTTAGAGATTGAGATACAATTATTTAAGGTAAATTGCATCTGTTTGAAAGTGAAAGCATTTTTTTTTTTCATGCAGGCTCTGTCAATCATAGCTAGGGGAAGTGTGGCTAGGGCTGCACAAACAGAAACAAAGTGGTTTAACTCCTAAATGACAGTGAATTGAGCAGTGAAATTGAAGGGGAATGATCTATACACTAAAACCGCTTTATTTAGGTAAAGTAATTTAGGTGACTATAGTGTTCCTTTAATTTGCGAGGCTGTAGCTTTGTATACTGCAAAACCACATCGTGAAGAAGTGATGCTGGTGCTTAGACTGTCCCCAGGGAAACCATCATCTTTTGCATTTAATCTTTAAAAATTTATTTGATGAATAAGTAGCAGCAGGGTTACAAGATTATAAAGATTGATTGTGACATTTGGGCCCTGAGCTGTTGAATTATTCATTGTGCATATTCAGAATCTGTAGACAATATATTAAATCTTTGTGTTATACCTCTTTTAACAGCACTCCCACTACTTCTCATATGCTATTTTATTATGACCATGGGTGAGGACATTGATGCTTTAATAATTAAGGTACATCAATTAAGATCTATTTTCACAATATTTTTCTTTATTTTTTTACAATTATGGAAAAGTGTGTTATTTGAAATTCGGAACAATGAGAGAATCGGAACACAGGGCACTTTATAACAGCTGCGTAAATGGTACACAAACAAATGACTACAGAACTACTCTGCGATCATTTTTAGTCTTTGGAACCGCAGGCAACAATGCGTAATATAAACAAGTATTTAACCCCTTAAGGAAACATGACAAAAATATTCCGTAATTCCTTTTTATTCCAGAAGTTGTGTCCTTAAGGGGTTAATAATTACAGATTTAAACCAGGTGCTGCTATTCCACACAGGGTTAAATAGATCCTAAAACTGGAAATTAGATCCTAGGATTTCTTGCAGAGCATTTTATGGAGAGTCAGAACAAATGCTTAATGTTTACAAAAAAAACCCATCAATCAGCCTGCATGTTGATTTAGTTTCAAATGCTTTTTATTGTCAAGTATCGATGATATCCATTAGTATGATAGTCATGAATATTGCATTAAACATAGCAAGTTGGATATTGAAGCTATCACATAGTTTGTGACTTTTTATATGGATAACATACAGAATCTATAAAAAAAAATTATATAATATGCTGGACAAAACATTATAACTCAAAATTAAGGTAAACTAAATTAAACATGCTCTCTTTCATGTGTTTCGGGTATTTATACATGGATTTAGCGCTACTTTAGGGGTGACCAGCTTGAGGATTCCTGTTCTGTGGAATTTACGTTATAGGGCGATGGGGGATTGGTTCGCCTGGTCAAGTAACATTAAGTAAACTCAAACGTGATTTTGATTCTAGATAGGTTTTTCTTACTTGAAAACAAACAAACAGTTTTCCTGGCACCCCCCCATCCCAGGTTGCTGATGGGGTTAAAACCCCTTCAGTGACTTACCTGTATCCAGCACCGATGTCCCTCGGCGCTGGGTCAGGATCCGCCTATGCTCCTCCCCCGCCGACGACAGTCAAATTACACACCGTTACCAATTATAGTGTTATGAGTCAAATTACACAGCCCTCCATGGGTGAAGATGGATTATTCTTATTTTTTTAAGTGCGTCGGTTATTATGGCTTTTTATTTGGCCTTTTGGGGGCTGAAAAAATAAGATTTTAGAAGAAAGAAAACATCAAATGGTAAGTTTTATTTTTATTTTTTTTCAGGTACTTAGTTAAATGGTCCCCACTCATTATTTTTAGGGTGAGGGGGGTAGGTAGGGGTTAATTTTTGGGGGAGGGGGGTGACTAGGGGTTTGGCAACCCCTAGTCACCCGGGGGAGGGGGGTTATTTTTTTTATTTATGGCCCCCACCCACTGCTCAGGGGTGGGGGCCAGGGGGGAGGACATTTGGTTCCCCCCCCTAATTAGTATTTAGGGCCCCCACCCACCGCTCAGTGGTGGGGGCCAGGAGGGAGGACATTAGCAGGGGCGGGCTGGGCCGGGGGGCAGGGAGGCAATTGCCCCCCAGGCCGCCCTAAATTCCTGTAAGGCCGGCCGCGGCGGGCCGGCCCTTTAAATACTGCAGCC